CCTGCGGGCCACACTAATATTATACTTTCATATCACGGTGGGGGGACACAGGATATCGTCCTGCGGGCCGCAATTGGCCTGTGGGCTGCAAGTTTGAGACCCTTGCTCTAGAGGGAGCGTTTTTGCTTCCCTAAGGCACCTCTGAGGCTCAGGAAGGCAAAAAATGGAGAGGGGGGGCTGAGCTATTTTTTGCCTTCCTGGGCCTCAGCAAGGGGAATCCCAGCACAGCAGATTGTCGGGAGGGGAAAAAAAAAATACCTTAGGCGAATGTCAGGTGGGTGGGTTGAGCGAGCATCTGGAGGGAGGGCGAACAGGTCGGGCGCGTGGCCAGCCAGGACTTACTACCGGTCTGGCGACCCACGCCAAATCCTTGCTACTGGTTCGCTCGATCTGGTGCGAACCGGCTGAATACCACCACTGGTCTCCGTGGTCCTGTGGCCAGCACAAACTAAACGCCAAAGGATGCACGCAATGCTACCTTACTTTCCCACCAAAGGGGCCCCTATTTTCCTACTTGCATTTTTACATGGTTTCGAACCGCTAGGTTGGCAGAAGCTGGGACAAGGAGCGGGAGCTCACTCTGTGACGCGGCGCTAGGGATTTGAACCGCCGAACTGCCGACCTTTCTGATCGACAAGCTCAGCGTCTTAGCCACCGTGTCCCTAAACAATAAACAAGATATATTTATATGTTTAAGAAAAAAAGGGGGTTGAGGTGTGGGGGGAAAAGCATGCCTAAATTTAGGGCGTGTTAAATTTGTTCCACTTTTCAATTTCCAAACGTTGGGGGATGCTCAAAAGTTGTGACATATGCCTTGGGGATTGCAAAGGTTATTTTGGTTACTCTAATCTAATCTAGATGCGCTTGATAAAAGTCACTACATAATTTTTGAACATTTTGCTTGTTTTGAACATTTCATGTGGGGTCATTTCCTGCCCTTCCTATTTCTCAATAAGGCGGCTGTTGCACATCTCACAAACTCTTTTGGCACCCTGAGAAAGGGAGGGGAGGGTCATTTACGGATCGTACCCAGTGGTGGGATGCTGCCGGTTCGCACCGGTTCTCCCAAACTGGTAGCACCGGTGAGCAGTTCCCCCCGCCCTTCCCTGTGCTTTATTTCCTTGTTTATGAGCTCAGCTGATTTGAGTGGCAGGCGGGATTGCGGCACCTCCGCTGTTTTACCCACCATCGCTGAAGACAAGGTCAATTTCTGAAGCTTAAAACCGGTGGTTGATGAACGCTGCACACCTGAAGCGCGCTCTCATAGAACCGGTAGTATAAAAAGGGTGAATCCCACCACTGATCCTACCCCTTGTTGCGGTTCACCGGCAGCAGGTGCAGACAGCTGAGGTCTCTTGACAGCAAGGACTTGGACGAGGGTCCTGCGTGTGATGCAGGGATGGGCCCAGGACTATCGGAGAGTGGGGTGCTGCCTGCAGAGCTTGGAGACTCTAGCAGTAGTGATGCCCTGGGGAACCTGTGCTCAGTGCGCGTATGCATAGGGCTGCTTGAAGGAAAGAGCAGCTGAAGCAGCACAGGCAACTTGGGAGTAAGGCTGGAAGGTGATGGGCCCTCCCATAAGGGATAAAAGCCAGCCTTCGGGATTGGCTTTTTTGCAGGAAGCAAAGAAGTTCTTTCTACTCACAAAGCCCTGCTTACTCCAGTTTGGGGTTTTTTTGAAACTTCTGGCTTTGGATATTTATCTGCAATTAGTCTTTTGTTCTCGGCAGCCTTTCACAACCTTGAAAGGGTTTGCTCTTATCTGGGACAATTCATTCTGAATGACTCTTGGCTGTGAATGCACACAATTCACAACGCCGCATCAAAAAGGTTTGCTTTTATACATACTTTGTGTTTGTTTGATCTGAGCAAGGCTTGGGTCAGAACACCCCTTCGCCCACCCTCTGGCCCTAAGAGTGCAACCTGCGGACATGCTTCAGAAGGTTGGACTTGTGATTGAACGACTTGGAGGCAGTGCTTGCAGCTGAAGGCGGGGTGCTTTTGATGGGTGTGCCGGTGCTGCAGGAAGGTGGAACGGTGCGTGAAGGTTCTGGGACACTGGTCGCAGCGGTGGGGACGCTCGCCTGTGTGGACCCGCTCGTGTTCTTTGACCGAGGCTTCCCACTTAAAGCGCTGGCTGCAGTGGGAGCAGGCGAAGGGCTTCTCCTGGGTGTGGATCCGCAGGTGTTTCACCAGGCAGGAGGTACGCTTAAAGCGCTTGGGGCACAAGTGGCAGGGGAAGGGGGCCTCGTCCGAATGCACCTTGCGGTGCTTGTCCAGGTCGGCCTGCAGCTTGAAGCATTTCCCGCAGCAGAAGGGCTGCCTGGCCGAGTGCACCAGGCGGTGCTTAATGAGGTCGTCGCAACGGGTGAAGGTCTTCTCGCAACACTGGCACTGGTAGGGCCGCCCGTCCGTGTGGATGCGCTGGTGCTCCCGAAAATTGAACTGGTGTTTGATGTCCTTCCCGCAGATGTCACAGTGGTGGAGCTCCAGGTCGAGGGCAACCACTTGAGGACGTTTCTTCTCTGGCTTCCAAATGGCTTTCTTCCTCCTTTTCCGCAACCGGGTTTTGGGAGGGCTCCTCCGGGGGTCCCATGAATGGTCTGGAGAAGCGGAACAAAAGGCCACAGCCAGGAGCGGGCTTCAAAAAATTTAGCAAAGGGTTCTCTGCCCGGTTGCTGAGAGGACGTGGCCATAGTGGGCTTGGCCTAGTCGGCCTCCTGCATCACAGCTGAGGGGGGGAATGTGTTTGACCTCCTGGGCTCCTGAGGCTTTCCTCAAGCCTCCAGGAGAGCAAAAACAGCCTCCCCGGGCTCCGGAGGCTCTTTGGAAGCTGGAAACGGGCCCATTTCTGGCTTTCCCAAACTTCCAACCCCGAACCTCTGCACACAACGTGCACTTACCTGCATCCAAAACGGACCGCATGAGGACTCCTGGGAGGGGAGGGACAGGGAGGGGGTGGGGTGGGGCCAGCCAGGAGAGGGATTCGGGGAGTTCTCCGAACTGCACAGAATCTTAACTAGGGGCTCTCCCGAACCCCTAGCAGCCCAGCCCTGGTCACAGCGCCCCGTAAGCCCTTTTTTTTCATAGATTCCTTGCAACCAAAATCTTTTGTGGACTGGATTCACGTTATCAGGTACACACTCACCAAAAGCCATGGGGGTATTCTACCGGTTTGGCCCGGTTCTGCGGAGCCGGTAGCAGCGATGAGCAGCAGAGAACAAACCTGTTCTCTCCACCGCTCTGCTCTTGGGTCCACGTGCCCGCCCGAGCTCCCATACTCCCTTTTATCCGCTGAATTTGAGGCGCAGCTGCTTTGCGCGGCACAGAAGAGTGCCGTGCGGCAGCTGCTGAAGCGACCGGGATCATGCAGGCTTGCAGGAGGTGAGTTAGAACGCCTCTGCGCCAAGTGCACATTTGGCGCACGCATGCACGCAAAGTGTGTGCACGTGTGCAAAGTGCGCCCACCAAGCCATGGCCACCGAACCAGTGGCATAAATATTTGACTCCCACCACTGACCAAAAGTGAGAGTGAGTGAATAGGGGTAATCCTTGACTTACAACCAATCATTTAGTGACTGCCCGAAGTTACAACAGCATTGAAAAGAGTGACTTATGACTGCTTTTTTTTTTTTTTTTTGCAACATCTCCATGATCAAGTAATTGAAATTCAGAGGCTTGGCAACTGGAATGTACTTATGATGGTTGCAGTGTCCCGGGGTCACGTGATCCCCTTTTGCAACCTTCTGGCAAGCAAAGTCAACGGGAGAAGCCAGATTCGTTTCTCAACCGTGCGACTAACTCAACAACTGCAGCGATTCACTTAACAGCTGCGGGTAGAAGGATCGCAAAACAGAGCAAAACTCATTCAAGTATCCTGCTTAGCAATAGAAATTTTGGGCTCAATTGCAGTTGTAAGTTGAGGACTACCTGTAAAGGCATAGCTGGAAGGGGAAACTCACAGGTGGCAAACAGCTTGCCTTGGTATGACATGATAAACCTAAGATGACAGAATACAATTCAGCTAACATCTGTACATCAGAAAAAATAATTAGAATAGAATAGAATAGAATAGAATAGAATAGAATAGAATAGAATAGAATAGAAGTAGAGTAGAGTAGAGTAGAATAGAAAGAATGGAATGTGTCATCGGTATTCATCTGGCAAGCGTCCTGTCAGTGTGTGAGAGAGTTGAGGGCTATTTGGAAACTGAAACAGTATTTGCTGTGTGAGCAAGGAGACAGCAAGGAGCCTGGGTGTGGCTTAGCTCAACTGTCTGTACTAAAGCTGCTTGGTGCTCTGAAACCGAACCTCCTCTCCTCTGCTTGTGTTTTGCATTTGGAAGAGATTTCTTTTCAGGTGGGGAGGGAGAGTAGAACTCCTTAGCATCAGAGCATGTTAATAATAATAATATAGGAAATACTAATGCTCTGATGGTCATTTTGAAAAATCCTTTCTTAGTGAGCACCTAGAAGCCAAGAGGAACAGACGTGCCAAATTTCAAATTTGTAGGCTTTGCAGTTCTCGAGATTTTGTGATGATGCATGAGGGTATTTTGCTTTTATATATATAAAATGATGATGACGATGTTTTTTTCTTCTTGCCGCCCATCTCGTTGCAAGGTGAGATGGGAGGCAAAAGACTCTCCCAAAGGGCTCCCCTGACCATTTCTTCCGGGAGGGAGGAGATCGTTGCAGCGCAATCCGCCACCCCAGCGACCTCACCTACTTTCCGGTATCCAGGAGCACCAGACGCCGCTCTCCGGCGCTTCAAGACGGCCGCGTCGCTTTCTCAACTCTCGCGAGACGTCCTTCGCAAAGGCGAGCCGACACGGGAAGAGGGTCAAACATAGAGACGGCGAAGCTTAGATGGGGAAACGTCGCGTTAGATTTTTCCGATGAAATTTCCGGGATTAGAGACGATAAAAACAGAGCCTAGAGAGGCTTGATTTCGGAAACGTTTGAGCACTTCCGGCAAAGACTGAAACAGGATGCTGTCTCCTTCCCTTAAGGGCATGAAGGGCCACTCTACCGCTTATCTCTATGGCTGAAACGCTTGGTACGCTTTCAAGAATGAGGTGCGTTCCCGCCTCACTTTTAGGTGAAGAATGGCAGTAAGTTTGGAGCGCGCCCTTCTTCCCTCCCGTTGAAAATTTTTCTGCTTTTGAAGCTATCCACCAGACAAATCCTTGTCTCGGCGCACATTCATGGCCTCTTACCGGTCTCATGGTTGGCTACCACGAAAAAAACTATAGATGGCGCTCCCGGAGAGGGAGGGAGCGTCGAAAGAGGGAACCCTTACTTAAGATGGCGGTCGAACGGACCTCAGTGGAGATGGCAGCCCGCGAGAAACAGTGCCCTCAATCAAAATGGCGGCCAATGAAAAGAGACGCTCATCCCCCGCGGGTACGGCGGCGGCCGGGACCGGTCAGGGCCGGTCGGCCTTGTCAACGAACGGCGTCGCCGAGGGCGAGGCGGAATTCCTCCTACAGTCCGGCGTGACCGACATGGTGCGAGAGGCTCTCCTAAAAGTGCTCGAAGCCCGGCCGGAGAAGCCCGTCGATTTCCTAGCCGGCTATTTCGAGGAGCTGATGCAGAGTAGCCCGGAGGCGGCGACGGAGGCCTTGTCGGACGGCGGAGACCCCCAACGGCAGCTGCGTCTCGACCGGGCCTTGTGGTATCTGGGCCTGGCTCACCATTCCCACAGGTGGGGGCGAAGAATTCCGCTTGCGAGGGAGAGAACTCCGATCCCCACAATGCAACGGGTCTACCCACGGGCGGTTCTAAGGGAGTCCGCCCGCGAGGCTCATTGGGAAATGTAGTTTTTCTCTAAAGCGGCCCAGTATGGAGGTGTGGGGGACACAGCAAGGAAATGGAAATAATGGATTGTTCTGGGCCGCATCAAGAACTTTGCGTTTTAATTGACGGTTTGGGCTAACATGGGGGCCCCTGGGGCCCTTCTGGAGCCTGGTAGACAACAACCCTCGGATGCTGTAGCCAATTTAAATCCTCCATCAGACTAGCCACTCTACTATCAGCTTCTTTTTCACAAAAAGCTGGTGCCTTTAATAAAATTTGTTACTCAGAAAAGATGCTACCAGACCCCTCCTGATTATTATTTTTTTGCTACTAGCTCTCTCCCTTACTAGGCATAATGATTCACCCATTTCACAATTATAGTGCATTCATTATAAAACATAATTCATACTGATTAAAACTTTAAAATAAAGTACAGTGTAATGCACAATTAATCATAAGAAAAAATTGCAGTATAAATTACTACGTCTTAGTAAAAGGGGAAACAGGAAGCATAGTCAGTGACTAAGTATTTTACTTCAATATTCCGTATGCTAAATATTTTGAGTATAAAGAGGGGAATCACTATCACTGAAGACTTAGATGGTTTTCAAGTTGAGACTAAAATTCTTTAAAAAGCGTGAGGAAAAGTGGAGAAAGAAGAGAGAACTTGTGTATTAATAAAGGAAAAATACAGAGTAAAATATCTTGCTTTTGCATCTTATAGGAAAAGCTAAAGATTAGAGTTGGAAGAAATTCAATAGGTTGTGTTAGCCATCATCCAGAAATATTCCCCTTCTTCTCACCATTTTTATAAACACCAGTATCCCTCAATGAAATACAGTATTTCATGAACCATGACCAGAGAAGATCTATGAATAATATTAATTTTCATTGATAGTCCTCTCTCCAAATGAAATAATTACTAATTTCTTTAATTCTCTGTTTTTTACTTGAGTTACTTTTAGCCAAAGCCCAAGTCACAAATATGTCTACTCCAAGCATATTTTTCTTGCCACAAAGCAAATGTGATGTGTTTTCCCAGGGCAGCCTCCCATTTATATGTGTAACAATTAACATAATTCTACCACATGTCAATGTATGAATAAAACAACATGTATGTTAGCTGTCTCATAAAGTAAGCATAAGCTTTATTGGAAAGTCTCTGGGGTGTGTATACACACGCACGCAGGTAGTCCTCAACTTAACAAGCACAATTGGGACCAGAATTTCCACTGCTAAGTACAGCAGTTGTTAAGGGAATTGTGTCTGATATTATGACCTTTTTGCAATGGTTGTTAAGTGAATCCAATTGTTAAGAGAATCATACGATAGTTAAGCAAATGTGGCTTTTCCCATTAAATTTCCTTGTGGAAAGTCAAATGAGAAGATCGCAAATGGTGCTCTCTCAAGTGCATACTAGTTCCCCAAATTTTGATCACATGATTGTGAGGAAGTTGCAATGGTTGTACATGCGAGGACTGGCTGTAAGTCACTTTTTTCAGTGCTGTGGTAACTTTGAATGATCACTAAATGAATAGTTGCAAGTCAAGGACTACCTATATGACATTTCCTAGGTCGAAATATAGAAATATTTTGCCAATCCTTAATCCTAATAACGGTGGTTGTTTGAAATTGATAAGAATCGTTGACACCTAGAAAAGCTCAGTAAAGCTAATGCCATTTTCTAAAATTAAAAGAAAACTAAAATTAAGTTCACAATTTCTTGCTTTCCCAGTTAAAATTAAATTGACCTGCATTAATACAACAATACGGTGGGAGAAAAGCAATAACAATAATACAACTATAAATAATTATACAACTTCAAATGTTTTCATCAACAGTGAGTGCTTTAAAATAGTTTCCAACCATTTCAAACTCAAAAACACCCCAATTTGAATCTGAAATATCTCTTATTAGGTACAGAATGGCTATCTGGAATATTATGGAAATTTTCTTCCCAAACACTGAAAACAGTTATGCATCAGACACAACTTTCAGATATCCCAAACCCTTCTTTTACTTTTGAATTAGAAATGGCTGAAACAAAAAACAGTTAACATACCCCCAAGTAAGTTCTTAAATTATTTTTTTCTGTTACTTCTCCTAGTAAGTTTTTTTTTTTACTTCAACGAAGACCCAATATGGAGCACTGATCAATTCAGTCTGTCATTGCTCAAAGTAATACAATACTTCTTGATCCAGCTTTAACGTGATACAGGCCACGGATGTCAAACTCATGTCATCACATGACTTTTCTTCCACTTTGCTAAACTGGACTCGGGTGTGGCCCGCAGTCTGCGAGTTTGACAACCCTGATCTTGGCTCTGTTTCAGGGTGGGCATTATGGATCACCAGTTAAAGATGCTGGGCTTATCCCTTGTAAAGATGACAGCTGAGGTTCAAGACCCGTGCCATGCAAAGGAGTGAGCTCCCGTTATTTGCTCCAGCTTCTGCCCACCTAGCAATTCGAAAGCGTGCAAATGTGAGTAGATAAATAGGTACCACTTTGGTGGGAAAGGTAACCGTGTTCCATGCACCTCGGCGTGTACAGGCATGTGCTCAACTTGCAACAGTTCATTTAGTGACCGTTCAAAGTTGTTGCACTGAAGAAAGTGACTTATGACTGTTTTTCACACTTACAACCTTCACAGCATCCCCATGGCCACATGATTGAAACTCAGACCCTCGGCAACTGACTCCTACTTATGAGAGTCGCAGTGTCCCAAAATCATGTGATCCCCTTTTGCGACCTTCTGACAAGGAAAGTCAATGGGGAAGGCAGATTCAAAAACACCTCAAACTGTGTTAACAAACAGTTAACAAACTCTGTTACTAATTTTAACAAATGCAACAATTCACTTAACAACTGTGGCATGAAAGGCTGTAAAATAGGACAAACTCACATAACAAAGGGTTCACTTAGCAACCTCAATTTTGGCCTCAATTGTGGTCGTAATTTGAGAACTACCTGTAATCATGTTGGCCACATGACCACGGAAAATGTCTTCAGACAACACTGGCTCCTTCAGCTAAGAAATGGAGACAAGCACCATCTCCTAGAGCCAGAAATGACTGGACAGGGGAAAACTTTACCTTTACTAAATACAATTCCTTAATCAGTTTGGTCCAATGGTTAAAACACCAGGTTAGAAAGTGGGAAACTCAGTTCTAGTCCCGCCTTAGCCATGAAAGCTGGTTTGGTGAGTTTGGGCCAATCACCAGGAGACGGAGAGTTCTAGTCCCACCTTAGCCATGAAAGCTGGCTTGGTGAGTTTGGGCCAATCACCAGGAGACGGAGAGTTCTAGTCCCACCTTAGCCATGAAAGCTGGCTTGGTGAGTTTGGGCCAATCACCAGGAGACGGAGAGTTCTAGTCCCGCCTTAGTCATGAAAGTCAACTGAGTGCCTTCACTCTCTCAGCCCAACCCATCTCACAAAATTGTTGTGGGGAAAATAGGAGGGGGAAGATATGCTGGAAATATTCATTACCTTGAGTTATTTGTAAAAGTGCAGTGCAAATAAATAAGTGTGTGGTGTGTGTGAGAGAGATATTTTGGATACGATGGGCTGCTGACAGGAAGGCACTTGGAACTGTGAGATGGCTCCAAACCGGTAGGTAGGTAAGAAGAGAGGGAGGGAGCGAGAGAGGGAAGGAGGGAGGGAGGAAGGGAGGAAGAAAAAGAAGAGAGAAAGAAAGAAAGAAAGAAAGAAAGAAAGAAAGAAAGAAAGAAAGAAAGAAAGAAAGAAGAAAGATCTCTCTTTCTGTCTCTGTCTTTCATTTTGGAGCCATCTCCCAGTTCCAAGTGCCTTCCAAAACCACAGCAGCCCATTGTGTCCAAAACCACACACATACACAATCTGAAGAGGATCAGACTGTGCTTTTAGGGCTTTGCTGCTCCCAAGGCTTCGAGACCATCCCTTAATATTGTTAATTCCGCCCCCTCCCCTCCTCTTCCATTAGGACGGCCTTTAACAACAACGTCCACTCCGCCTACGACGTTCTCAGCGCTGGGGCCAAGGGCAAGAAACCCGGTGTGGACGGGAAGACCTACAGCGAGCTCCTGCGGCTGCTGTGCCAAGAGAGGGCCGCCTCCGACGAGACCCTGCAGCCCCTCCTGCAGAAGGTCTCTTGCCGAGACCACGAAGCGGTGCCCTTCGACATCTTCCGCTACGGCCTCCTCACCTGCCTGATCCTCCTGGAGTTCCTGGCCAAGGCTGACAGTCTCTACGACGCTCTCGATGACGGCTCGGATGCCGCCGACAAAAGGGTCTGCACGGCCGTCTTGGGCACCCTGGAAGACGCCCTCCACATAACCGATGCCTCTCCTCCCATCCGGTGCTTGGAAGCCGGATCCAAGCTCAGGCCAGACTGCTTGGCGATGGCGATGGACCGGGCGCTGTTGGAGAGGAAAGCCAGCGCGGCCATGAAGAAGGACAAGTTCCTCAAGAGGGCTGCGTCCATCTTCGTTACAAAAGTGAAGTCCGTTCACTAAACGGGGCAGGGAGCGACGTGGTTCTTCTCTCTGGCTTTCCTGAGCGGCAGAAAATCTATGATGCTACAGGGGTGCAAATGGACACGGACAAAGGGGGGATCCCCCAGAATCGGTTTGCTTAGAGTTTGCCCCTCTAAGGCAGGGGTGGCGAAGTAGGGCTCCTTTAGGACCCGTGGACTTCAACTCCCAGAATTCCTCAGCCAGCAAAGCTTTGCTGGCTCAGGAATTCTGGGAGTTGAAGTTCACAAGTCTTAAAGTTGCCAAGATTGGAGACCCCTGGGCTAGAAGATCTTCAGGGTCGCTTCCAATTCTGTTATCCTCTTTTAAGTTCTAGCCAAACCAGTGGCTCTATCCCATTTTGAAGCTGGCTTGGTTACCAGTGTGTTCCTGACTGCGACTTAAGGGCCTGGTTATAACATCAAAAAGTCCCTAAATAATAATCTGAGGAACTGCCTATCTAATAATAATTTGAGGAACTGGCCCTTTACAAGCTGACAGGGTCTGCATGTTCCAGGCTCTTCCTATTAAATAATATCATTTTTCAGGACCCCAGAAGTGTGTCTTTTCTCTCATGGTCCCTTGGATGAGGTTATCCCTGAGATCCATCCGTACGATTTTCCAGAAAATGTCATTTTTTTTCTTCTCCCCACGCCATGGGCTAGAAGTGACTGGAGCATCCCCTGGAGGTTATTGGTATATATTCTTGTATTGTTTTGTCCCTTTTTTTTCTAGTGTACGGGGTTTTTGTTTTAGAAATCATTCCTATTTATATATTTTTTAAATTCCGTTCGTTGTATGGGAATCACCCAGAATCATTCTGGAATCAGGTAGCATCAAATTGGATAAAATAAATAAATCTGTTATCATACACACAAACACAGAAACCTCAGTTCTACGGTAGTATTTTCACCAACATCGACCGTATCCAGATTCTTGGGCTGAGAGGTCAGCGAATGGGGTTTCTGTGGCTGGGGGTGGACTTGAACCCAAGTCTTGCCACTTCTACTCCAACTTTCCCGCTACATCTTATTGGTTCTTAGGTTTAAAGGGAGGGATTTAGCTCAAAGCCAGCCAGTGAGCTTCTGTGCCTGAGGGGAGACTAGTACTCAGGTCTTTCCATTCATTGTCTAGCCACTGAATAAAGTGGATTGCTTGAAAATGGCAAATGTCAAGTTGGTTTAAAAAAATATGGCGGCATTTGATTTGATTTTAAAAGCCACAGTAGAAATCATTTCCTTTTCACTGGGAAAGTACAGTTTTTTTTATCCTCTAGTCTAGACTTTTCTAAGCTTCAAGATTTCAGTGCATACAGAAGCAGAATTGTTTAATTCTCTTTTATCTTCCCCCCACGCCAAATTATATTCCTGCCTGCAGCTTAAAATTCTGCTTAATCAAGAATTTGGGGTGACTCATCCTTGGTTCATCCTTTGGCCAGACACATCTTACGTATATTCTGACATCTAGATCAAACAAAAGTTTTTATCTAGTCCAAACAGTCATGGACGACATTCAGTGTCTCAGTTCGGTAAAACCCTGTGGGTTTTTTTTTTCCTCCAACTTTTTTTCTCAGCATTCCTTAACTCCTCTGAAGCCTGTTTAATCTTTTTCTTCAGTTGGAAAAAGTTTGTAGACTAGCTGGCAATGGGTAAAGTGTCCATCACAAAAACTCTAAAACGGAGGTCTCCAAACTTGGCAACTTTTAAGACTTGTGGACTTCAACTCCCGGAATTCCTCAGCCAGCTCTTTTGGAAGTTGAAGTCCACATGTCTTAAAGTTGCCAAGTTTGGCGACCTCTGTGCTGTGAAAAGGAATGAGACTGAAATGAAAGGAGAAATGAGCAAATTCAGTTTTCAGGGACTTCATCTTTTTCACTCACTGGGTGCCTTTAGATCTGGATTAATTTAGTTTTAGTTTATTGTCACTGCATCTCGTACAACGAAATCAAACATCATCTTCAATGTACATCATGACCATGAAAATAAACACAAACACACATCCTTCGCCCTTCATACATTGAACCGGAAACCCCCGACACCACACCAACGCTGCACTATACAGCAGAATTGAAAAGAACTACTGTCCTGGAATAGAAGCTGTTTTTCAGCCTATTTGTCCTTGTTTTTATTATTCTGTACCGTCTGCCAGGTGGTAATAGTTTTTTAAAAAAAGAGGTGCCCAGGATGAGGTGGATCTTTGAGAATGGTTTTAACTTTCTTAAGGCAGCGGGAGCTATAAAGCTCTTCCAAAGAGGGGAGAGGGCAACCCATGATCTTCTGGGCAATGACGTTAACCCTCTGGAGTGCTGTCCTATCTGCCACTGTGCAACTGGCAAACCATACAGAGGTGCAGTAAGTTAAGATACTCTATGGTGCAGCAGTAGAAGGTCACCAGCAGTCTTCCATCCAGTTGCTGTTTTCTGAGAAGTCTCAGGTCGTATAATCTCTGCTGGACCCCTTTGACCAGGGCTGCAATGCGGGCATCCCAGGTCAGGTCCTCTTTTAGGGTAGCATCCAGAAACTTAAAACTGGCCACTTGTTCCACTCGGTCTCCATTGATAAGCAAGGGCTTATCATCTGGACGACTGCTGAGCTTAGGGCAGTAATGGCTAACCTTTTTCACGTTGCGTGCCAAAAGTGCGTGCGTGCCTGCACCCATGATGCGATGCATGACTCCCCCGCCCATGCATGCGTGCACGACTCCCTGCGCATGGGACTCTACATGCACACACAACTCCCATGCACACCGCAGCCTCTGTGCATGCACGCGCATCTCCCGCTGTGCAGGTGCAGCAGATACCTGACAATCGGCTGGTGGGGGTTGCGCGCACGCACGCGCAGTGGGGCTCTTCCAGGTGACCTCTCGAATGCTGGCAGAAGTAGCCCCACATGCCACTTCCGGCATGCGTGCCATAGGTTCGCCACCATGGGCTTAGGACATTGTGTAATCCTCCCAAGTGGGATAAGACGGTTGTTAAATGAATCCGCCTTTACAATTCGCTTGCAGAAAGTCACAAAAGCTGATCGCGTGACCCCCAGGGTACTGCACTCATCAGAAATGCATGCCAGTTCCCAGGCGTCTGAATTTTGATCGCGTGGTGAATCAAATCACATGGCGTGACGGTCACGTGAAAAAATCCTTTTTCTCAGTGCTGCTGTAACTTCCCATGGTCACTAAATGAATGGTAAGCTGAGGACTACCTGTATAAAGGCAGCAATTTTAAAGGTGGAAAAGGCTCAGTATCTATGGAGATTCTTGGCCACCCAGGGCATGCTTATCCCAAAAAGTGATTTTCTCCTAAACTCGACTGCCTTGATTTTTCTTGAAGACGTTTCACTGCTCAAGAAGCGTGTTGGGTGAAAAATGAGAGTTCCCCCCCCCCCCCCCCAAAAAAAATTAAGAACATTTGGGGAAAGCACCTTTGGGAAAAGCTTAGCACGGTGGTTTTCAACCTGTGGTCAGCCAATCCCTGGGGGACTGTTAGACTTGAAGAAATGTTATGCTTTACATCTTGAATTGTTTTTTTTTGGGGGGGGGGCGTGGCGGTGGCTCCGTGGTCATGGTCCACAAAAGGTATTGCAAGGGGATCTGTGGTGAAGAAAATGCTGAGGACCACTGGCTTTGCATGCTTTGGAGGCAATCTGAAAGGTGCTTTTATTTCAAGAGGCAACTGGACTTTCTTGGTTTTTCCTTGAAGACGTTTCCCTTCTCATTCAAGAAGCTTCCTCGGCTCTGACTGGATGATGGGGAATGGAAGGATTTATACTCCTTGCAATCATTTGGTCATTTGCACTCTTTTAGAGAGTGTGGAGGCCACTGGGAGGGTTGCCTGTGTCCTCAGTCTGAGCTGAAGGTAGACTACAAATACACCACACAGTCAGAGTTGAAGAAGCTTCTTGGATGAGAAGCAAAACTTCTTCCCAAAAAACAACAATGTACAGTTGCTTCCTGAAAAAGCACCTTTAGGATCCTAACCCTAACCTCCGTAGACTTTTAGCTCTGCACTTTTGGGACGAACCTTCTTCGAATGGTGGAATATGAACAGATTTCCAGAAAAACTGCAGACTACAGGAACTATTTGCACTTCCGTTTGAGATGCAGACAACACAGGCTCATTCCCAACAGCCTGCATCTGTCTTCAACAGGGAAGGGAAACATCCTGCTACCAAGAAAGCTCCACACCCATCTGCACTACACAGGTGACCCTGAGGACACAGATAAACCTCCAAGTGGCCTCAACTACTCTCTAAAAAGATGCAAATGACCGGCTGTGTCTGCAAGGAATATAAATCCTTCCGTTCCCCACAATCCTGTCAGACCTGAAGAAGCTCCTTGGATGAGAAACCAAACCTCTTCAAAAGAAAAATCAGAAAGTCCAATTGCCTCTTGAAAAAAGCACCTTTGAGACAACCACGATGTGGATGGCTGAGAATCTCCACAGACATTTAAGAGAGAAACAAAGTGTTTTGTCTCATATTTCACAAGAAGAGTTCTCCACTCCTCTCTCTCCTCCTTGCAGAATACTTTATGCCAGCAGACTTGAAATTCTAGACCTAGAAAATCTAGGTGCCTTCGGTCCGATCTAAGTATAGTACATAAAATTATATATTGCAATGTCCTACCTGTCAATGAATACTTCAGCTTCAACCATAACAATACAAGAGCACACAATAGATACAAACTCAAGGTTAACTGCACCAAACTTAACTGCGGGAAATCCGACTTCAGCAACAGAGTGGTCAATGACTCTATAGTTTCTTCCCCAAACCCCAAAACTTTAACCTTAGACTGTCTACCATTGACCTCACCCCTATTTGTAGGGGGCGTGCATAAGCGCACCAACGTGCCTACCGTCCCTGTCCTATTGTTTCTCTTTTTTTATTTTTTTTATTTTTCTTATATGTATCCATTTCATGTATTCATAACTATGTTTATACTTATACCTGTCATCTTATAATCGCTTGACAAAATAAATTAAAATTAAATTAAATAAATAAAAACAAGCATAGACCTAAACTGTGAATAGGCGAGCGGGGTCAGGAAAATGCGGTAAAGTCAGCCGATCTTCGCGTGAAATGCACCAACGCAGAGGCACAAGGTGCGATGACGCACAGCAGCTTCCCAGGGTCGGTGAAACGAGAGAATTGTTGCATTTCCCCCCCCCTTAATGGCTCCTCAGTTGTCACCTTGCTCAGCCTTTTGTGGTGCAAAAAACCACATACACAAAACAGTTCAGCTGTTCTCAGGCGGGTTGGCCGAGCATCGCCAATAGGTCTCTATAATATGACCCAACGCATCCCTGCGATACACTTATTGCACGCGCGGGACGACACGTGTTTACCGTCCGGTACTGCAAAAAAAAAAAAAGTCTCAATAAACAAGTCGGACGGTTAATTCCCCAGGCGAGCCAACTTTCTCACGAGGGCGTCTGCATGCTCCGCCCCTGCCCCACTCGCTGTCGGGAATGGTAGTCCGACACAGCGGCCCTCACGTGGCTACGTGTACGGCACTGTTCTCAAGTTTTGCTGGGAGATGTAGTCCTCTCCACGCCCTCCGGACCGCCCTCTCCAGAAATCCGTCTCTCATTGGTGGAGGAAGGCGGGTCTGGCAGCGGTTTTTCTCTCCCCCCTCCCCTCCCCATCAAGAACTACGCATCCCAGAGGGCACCGCGCGCGCGCTCTCTGTTGTCGTGCCGCCTCCTCTCAGTGTGGTGCGGTTGGTTCGTGGCGCTCTTTCGGGTCCGCAAAGCTTCCGTTCTTTCTCCTTTCCTCTGCCCGGCCCGGCGCTGCTTCCCGCCCGCTTCCCCCCTCCCCTTTCGCGGTCGGCGCATTCACGCGAGACCCCGGCTTCGCTCGAGGCCTACGTCCTTTTATCGCCTCCTCCGTCAGCCGGTGACATGGCGCGGCTGTCTGTGCCCAGCTCGCAGAAGGCCCTTCTGCTGGAGCTCAAAGGGCTTCAGGAGGAGCCCGTGGAGGGCTTCCGAGTCAGCCTGGTGGACGAGGGGGATCTCTACAACTGGGAGGTGGCCATCTTCGGGCCTCCCAATACGCATTACGAGGGTGGCTATTTCAAGGTAAGAAAAGGGGCTGCCTGTATGTGTGTGTGTGTGAGTGAGTGACTGGGAGGGCACCCTCCTCTGGTGGTCCCTAAATGGGAGGTTGGAGTACAGCCCCCATCATCCCCGGCCAGGTAAGGCAAACCAGGTAAGAGGCCAAGCCCACACACTTTATTTTGGGATGGTAGAGATTGTGTTGGAGCCAGTGGGCAACTTTCTGTGAAGCAGGGCAAAGAAGAAAGAGGTGAAAAATCCTGGAAGCCCAAAATGGGGAACCAGGAAACAGCTGCCTTCAAAGCATCTCCAAGTAGGGCTTGTTCAAAAAGGCGAAAACCAGGAAGGTTTTTAAAAAATCCCAAAGAGGGAAGGAAAAAAGCACCAGCTGGGGAAAATAGACTGGAAATTTCAGTGTGGGCCCTTCCAGCTTGGGATACCTGCCTTCCTCCTGGGTTCCACCTGAGTGTAGGAGAAAACAGAGGGACTTTCTTCCCAAGTAGACACGTACCAGGCGACAGACGCTATAAATCCATCGGTCTAGAAGTAAACAAAGCACCGCAGTCCTGGCTGGGTTCCTGTTGAGGAAGTGCCACCAAACTGGGTAGATCAAACCCAGTTCTGAGAAATCCAGCTTCTCGGAATAAATCTTGCCTCGGGGATCTGATTACTTCTGCTAAACAAACATGTGTATGGTTTTGCTGTGGTTACTGCTCATTTTTAGGTCGGGATTTAAATTGGTCCTAAGAAGCATTTTTTTTCAGAGGCAGGAGGATTTGTTGTTGTTGTGTTGTGTTGTGTAAGCCTTTGGGGTATTTGTTTCCAGATTTTTTGCTAGCTATAGCTCATTTTTATGTTGGATTAAATAGGGCGTGATCCTGGTCACACCGTTAAGAGCACTTTTCAGATATACAAGGGTTTTTTGGATGTGTGTATTGGGCAGAATTACTGCACAAGCCTTTTTTGTTTCCCCCTTTTCAGGATTTGTACTTCTGTTTAAAGGAGTCATGGTTATAAAGAATAGCATGAGTGAGCAAGTGTGTGTGTGTTTTCATATCACCATTTCCTGTTTACCGGGTTGCTTTCCAGATGTGTGGGCTATAGTAGTTACAGAAATGAGAATTGATCCAACATTGAGGGAATTGAGGAAGACTGAAAGAGCTGTCCTTTTCTATGTAACAATTTAAATTATTGGAAGAGTCATTTTGGATTACTGCAGCTTCTCCCCCCAAAAACTAGAAATTGATTAGGATAACCCTTTTCACTTCTTAAACCGTCTGAGTTTTATTTCTCCTCTGAGCACAATTCCTTTGAGGAGAAACAAATCTCCAACCATTCTTCAATAACAGAAACAAATCTTGGTAATTGATGTTTGGCTACATGTTCTCCCCTTCTAATAAATAAACAATTATTGGGGGGTGGGAGAACATTGTCATATGTCTTCAAAATAATGAATTGGTAAATTTATTATTGTGAATTGATGGGACTTTTCTTGTACAGCTTTAATATGTATATTTATTGTTTTTAGATCTTGTTTATGGTTTTACTGTTAGCCATCTTGAATGTGGGCTTGCTCTGAAACCTGTTTTCAGGATTTTTCCACTCTATAAAATTTCAACCCTTTGTTTCCCACAAAGCAGTATTAGGTTTTCATACCATTTTATGCATACTTTTGAATTCCTTTAGAGGAACCTGAATGACAGGATCTGATTACTTCAAATTAAATTAAGGGTTTTTAAAAACAATTAGCAGCCACATTACGTTAGCTTTTAATCACTGAAAGAATTGTTAATTCTAGACACTTTTTAAGGGGTGTCATGGTTCCTTCTGCTTGAGGTTTACATTCTTTATAGATTAGGGTCAGTTGATTAAAGAACACGTTTCTGCCTCAGGAGGTATTGAATAGAAATTACAATGAGAGGAAGAACTGATGACTTCATGGACAAGTATGGGTAATTTTCATGGTACCCGATCTAGCTTTCTGGAGTCTGTCTGGCCCCAAACCTGAGATTTCTATTTCATTCCCTGACTTACAACAATTTGTTTCATAACTGTTCAAAGAACTGCAAAATGTGACTTATGACCATTGCAACATCCCCATGGTCACATGGTTAAAATTCAGATACTTGGCATCTGGTTCATATTTATGACGGTCCTGGAATCATGTGATCAGCTTTTGGGACCTTCTGCCAAGTCAGTTGGGAAGCCAGATTCAGTTAACAACCATGTTACTAGCTTAACTACAATGATTCACTTAGCAACTGTGGCAAGAAAGGTTGTAAAATGGGGCAAATTTCACTTAAAAAATGTCTTGCTTGGCAGTATAAATTTGGGGCTCGATTGTGGTCCTAAGTTGAGGACTATATCCAGTCCTTCATCAGCCAAAGGCAATTAGGTGCTTCCAGTGCTGTGGTACTTTAGCTGGTAACAGTAGAAAAAAATCGGTATTTAGGACAGCCTTTCCCAAACCCAGATGGTATTTCTGGACAATTAGTTTCCTTGCATCCCAATTTTTAACTAGAAAGGATTTGTAGAAATGGGCGAAAAATAATAGACTGACTGTGGCAAACGGAAACAATGACAGTTCCAGGTGCCTTGGGTGCAATTCCCAAAACAACTTGAGCACGATTTGAACACTATCGGCATTGACAAAATCAGTCAATTGCAAAAGGCAATATTCTTTGGAACAACGTACATCCTGTGACGATACCCTTAGCTCCAATGAACAAGAGCGTGTGCAGGTCCTGGGGAAGGACTTGATAGGTGAAGAGAAATGCCACATACAGTCTAAACATCTGGCTGAGCATTGATTGGATAAACATTTGTCTGAAATGGGGTAGGGTTTTCTGCTTCAGGGGGTTGGACTAGAAGACCTCCAAGGTCCCTTCCAACTTTGTTATTCTGACTGTATGACAAATATACTTAATAACATAACAGCCTGAAAAACATTGCATCGTATGCTCTAGTGCTGAACTACAGTATGTTGAAATAATAGCCGACGTCTCGAAAAGGCATTAGGTTGATGCCAGCAGTGTATGAAGTGATCTTTCTGTTTCATTACTGTACTTGTTTGGTAAGAAGACTGGAATTATGAGTAAGCGAAGGTTTGTTTCCTGGATAAACAAATAATAAGTTATAGATAAATCTGGGGGAAGTGAAATACAGACTCTCTCGCTGAATGAAATCTTGACTATGGAGATTTTTCTGGGTTTGTAGGCTGGTGTGGCAATCCCCTGCTTCCTGCCATAGTCTCACTTCCTTGCTCCCAGACCTAGGTGGAGTTGTGGATGAGTCACCCCAAAGTCAGTTGTCAGCAGCCTTATAAAGGCAGCTGCTGTTTTCCCACAACCGTCTCAGCTTAAAAGCCTCGGGGCACACAGTCACCTGTGGGGATCCCCACAGGTGTTCTAATGGCTTCTCCCATTTGACTGGGCAGGGACGGTGTATTTTGCACACCAGTGTATTTTTTAGCCTCTCGGTTGCTTCACCTACATTAAAGAACGTTCAGAGAGCCCCTGTGAGGTGGGCCGGGAACATCGCCCTGACGTTAGCAGGGAGGAAGGAAGGCTGAATCTGAGCCGTAAACTTGCCCGAGATCATCTATACGATCCGAATTGTGCTGCCGATCGGTGGCTTTATTATAACCAATATAAACAACTCCAAAGATGTAGAAAACTGCGCAGCGATGGCCGTTGCCCCAGAAGCCCCTCAGCGGTTAGGGCACCAGGCTAGAAGGCGGGAGACCATGAGTTCTAGTAGGGTCTTAGCCATGAAAGCTAGCTGGGTGACCTTGGGCCGATCACCAGGAGACTGGGA